CCAGGGAGGTGTTCAGAGGAGCACGCCTGTTCAAAGGCACTGGCAGAGGTGCGTCAGGCAGCAAAGCCCAGCAGGCAGAGCATCAGCCTGTATCTTCATATGTGATAGACTGTTGAACTAACCAGCATGTACCCCACTGTTACCTGATGAATGCCTGAATTGAGCCAAGCCCCTCCCAAACCTACATATGATTTAGCAGTAGGAGGTCAAGGAATGAATGACGACTCTGTCCCTGCTGTCCAGTGGTTTCACAAACCCAATTACTATGCAGCTTCAAAAACAAAAATGTCCATATTTATTAATAATGTAGGACTTGGATAAATTAAACTTTGGTTTAGTCATCAGAAAATGGGTTCAGTGTGATTATGAAGTGGTTGATCTCATTTTCTTTTAACGTGGCTCGACTGGTTAAGATTTTGAAGTTTGAGTTTTGCCTTCAGAGATGCAGATTTTGTTTCTGCGGCCTTCTTTTTCACTCAAAACATTCTTCTCTGACCTGTGGCATTAAGTGTTTGTTTCGTTTTATCCAGAAGTCTGCTGCTCTTAGACATGTTTTCATTAATGGACAATGATTTGTATCCCAGATGGCCAAGTTGGTGTTTTTAAATACAAGCCCATCTAGCACCAAGGACAACACTGAATTAAAAGTCCCATATAAATGGACTGTTGAACTGGTGTAATGATTGGTGAACTGTCCATGGTTGCCCCCACCTTTGCCCCAATTTGCTCCAGCTCACCCCTCAACACTATAATAATCAAGCACTAAAAGATTGAATGAATGAAGGACTGACTGCAGAGATGTTTGGTTGACTACATATTTACATTACATAGCAGTTAAACAGGTGTATGTAATGACATGGCTGGGGAGTTTATGCCTTGTATTGTTTGAAATTGTGCTACATCTCTCTCAGGCCAGAATTTTTGGGCTTGGTTCAGTAGTTTCTGCTGGCCAACTGTCAAGAGTGACTGAAGAGGCAGACAAAAATAGCGAGCAGAGCGCTGCATAGAAACAAGGACAAAAGCATGTGCAGCACCAGTTGTGTAATGATGTAATTATCCATACACACACGGCGGTGACTAGCCCAGAGGTATAACACAAAAACAAACATTGGGAAAAACAATTAACAAAAATACAGATGAGGAGACGTTTACGCAAAAGCCTCCCACGTATACAGTATCTTACTTCAGCACTTGTATTTACTGAGAAACTCAATTGTGTTTTTTTTTTTCCTTCTTGATGCCCATGTAAGTGCTGCAGGACAACAACAATACATGGTGTATTCATACACACACACACACACACGCTCTGCAGAATCAGATTATTAGCGCCAGGCAATTATCAACTAAGCCAAGAACCCAAGTTTGCTGCTATGTACGTTTGTCCTTCACTACCTTCCCTGTTGCCTTCACTCACCTGTTTAAATTCCCCACAGCATCCAAATATCACCTTCTAATTATACATACAACCTGAACATAAAACAACATAAAAACAACATGGCATGTTTGCACACCATTGTTATCTTTGGTCTTTTTTAACTGATGGTTTTTACAATCTCATTTAGAGAAAAACAGATGATAGAGTCAGGAGGAGAATGAAAAATATATATAATAAACTGAGTTTGTATCTGGGTAAAAAAGTAGGTTTGTTTGTCATTGTACATATACGTACGAAGGACACAGTAGTAGTCTTTTGAATTTAACTCATCTGTAAACAAGAAGAGTTGGCTGCTGTGCCTGGAGATTTAAACTGACAATTTATCCAATCACATCCTCCATTGCTAAAGCAGCAGAAGTCTGAAGTAAAATAAACACAAATAAACAATGTCTCTGTGGACCTACAGCGGAATATGGAAACTCATTTTACTCCAAACCAGAAATAAAATCATAAAGGTAACTGTACTTCTTTTTTCTCAAGTAACATGGAGATATAACTTGTATTAGCAACATCACATTTATTTAGAGGAAATTTAGGCTGCTTTTTAACTTCTATCTCATTCAATTCAATGTGGTTTGATCATGGAGAAAAAGTACTACTACTATTAACAGCTTTGCAGTTTATAAATAACTGTCAAAAGTTTCAGCTAGAATTCAATGGCCGCAAGCTAGGCACAATGACAGGAGGCACAATGACAGCTGTAAAAGCAGCAGAGCTGACACAACTGACAGGGTGTTTTACCCAAAAGTTAGAAATTTAAACATTTAAGAGAGAAGCACAAGGAGACTTATACCAATATGTTTGGTGCAGGACATTAGGAACATGCTAAAAAGTAGATTTTGTAAGATTACAAGAACCAATTTTGGTGGATGTACCGCTGGTTTCCCTTGATCCAACAATGGGACAAAATTTCAAAACAAGATGAAGAATATCAGTTCACGTGTCACTGGTGAAGATGGCATTCAGCACAGGTGAACAAACTACAGGTTGGCTTAGCACAATTAGCATCTCTCTGGAATAC